ATCATTTTTTTCGTCTGCTATATAATAAATATAAACAAATGAGTTTAAGCGAACGAACGCCCTTTTCACAAATTTCACGATTAGAAATTTAAAATAATTTCCCCCCCCCCTCCCGACGGATCCACGATTGTTCTAGAAGTTTTTTTTCATATCTCCTCCCTCCCCCTACCCCTTGAAGTGTAAAAAAAAAAAATTAAATTAAAATTAAAATCAAAATCGTCAGAGCTAGACATCATCATTGTTGCAATTCTTTAACTCGACGAAATCGTTATTTAAAAATGAAATTTTCAATTTATTATGAAAAGACTTGGGCTTTAGATAAGTTAGACGTAGCCCGAGTAAAGTTATTTAAATTTAGGACGGGTCATGAACCACAAGTTCATCGAACGAACGTGCATCTACCTCGCGTGTGCCCACCGCACTCTCTCTCTCTCTCTCTCTCTCTCTCCGTATTCTAGAATGACGGTCAAAGAAATGAGAAAGGGGAAGAGTTAACCCTTCAACTTATGACTCGCTCTTTAATTTTTTTTTTTTCATTTTAAAATGATTATATAAAAGTCTCGAATCCGATTTCGCGTCACGTTGTTTTTTTAACGAATTACGTCATTTAATGATTTTTCTACGCGCTACGGACGCGTATTTAATAACAACACACGCCGATGAGTAAAAAAAAAAATCGATGAAACGAAAGAAGAAAGTACACAAAGGAAACGTTAATTATTATTATTATTATTATTATTATTTTTTATACGGCTTTCCTTTTTCCTTTATTTCCACTTAACGAATTTAAATTTTCCCTTAAAAAAAAAAAAAAAAAAAAAAAAAAAAAAAAAAAAAAAACTCATCCCTTGAATTCGAACCCGTGCCGTCGCCTCACGCGAGTCAACAAAAAAATTTTTTTTTTTTTTTTTTTTAAACCTGCGGATGAATCAATCAATTCATTATTATTATTATTATTACTGTCGCCGTATACGTATAAGAATTTTTTAAGGAATCCATTTCCTTCGAACCCTCGATTTGAATTTTCTCCCATAAATTTTTCTAACCGTGTGGCCCCCCGTATCGCCGTATTATTATTATTATCATCATTTTTCAATTTTCAAAACGTTCTCTTCAAATTACCCCGTAATCATAAACAATTATCATTATCATCATTACTCGAAAAACGTTTTGTGACTGCATTTTTTCATATAAACTCAATACTTATATATATATACATAAATACGGTAATCACGATATGACGTCATCCGCTTTTGTTTTTTTGTATAAAAATCAGTCAAACAATTTTTTGTGCATTTTATGAAAATAAACAATCATTATCATCATCATCATCATCATCATCATCATCATCATCATCATCATAATGACAAAACACTAAAATAAACAGAAACGTATAAAAAAAAAAAAAAAAAAAAATTAATGTGTCGTTGACCTGAAAGATGAATGATGCACTATTTAAATAAAATAAAATTGTTTTTGTTTTTGTTAAACCGTATCGATAAGAGAGAGAGAGAGAGAGAGAGAGAGAAAGAGAGAGAGAGAACGCACATTTTATTCCACTCCGTACACGCACCACCACCACGTGTTTCTCTTGTTTACGTTTGATGCAACGGAAATAAACGATTTGCAAAAATTTTCCACAATGTCTCCTAGTGTATGCATCTTCTTCTTTCATCATTCGACAAACCGTTCCCGAATTTCCTTCCATTTTCTTTTTCTTTTGTTTTTGGACGATTTTGCATTGATTGTCGTTGGAGAAGAAAAATCATCATTATTTAACTTTTCCTCTTCTTCTCCTTTTTCTTCTTCTTCTTGAATTTGCCATTCGGGTAACACCCATCGACTGGTATCAACTTTTACTCGTAACAGTTTCCATGCAAATTTTCCATCTCCTTAAGAAGACTCAAATGGTGTCACATGATTTGGTGCAGGTACATTCCAAAATGTGATTTAAGGAATCCTTTCGTACAAATCTTTTCTTTTCTTTTTTTAATATGATTTAATATCCGGTTCTCACATTAATTACTAAAGGCACTTACAACATTTAAAATAAAGTTATTAAGAATAAAAAAAAAACAATAAAATAAATCTTGAACGATTACCGGGTACCATCCTTTTTATTATTATTATTATTGTAATACCCATTTATTTATTTATCCATTATTTTCTCTCTCTCTCTCTCTCTCTCTCTCTCTCTCTCACAAGTTTTTTTTTTTTTTTTAAAACTCTCTTCGGTGAATTTTCCGGTTAATAATAATAATAATAATAATGGTGGTGGTGGTGGTGAGTGAAATGACTTTTCGGTAAGCTACCTTATGGAAAAATGATTCCGACACGCAAAAATTAAATAAATAAATAGAAAAACGGAAACGGAAATAACAACAACCTTTAGACCTTTAGACCTTAGTCAATCCTTTAAAGTTCCTTTGAAGTGAGAAAGAAAAAAAAAAGGTAAGAGAAAATCCTTTTAATTTTTACTTTTTTTTCACTTGCTCGCCATCTAAAGATCGAACCACGAACTAATTCTTCTCAGGTGCATCTTTAAATACCTTCCACGGATTTTTTTTTCTTTTTCTTTCCTTTTACGAGACTGCTACCACGTCGTGAAAAACTTCTTTTAAAATTTCTTATCCAAACGCAAAAAACAGCCAAAAAAATCGATCAAATGGAAAATGGGCACCGACCTTAAAAAATTTTTTTCCCACGGGAGATACAACCGGAAATTCCAAAAACATCATTGGAATCTTTCGTTACCTATGTTCCACTATCATCATCATCATCATCATCCCTCGCAACCGCAAGTAACAACACGAAAAAAAAAAAAATAATAATAATAAGTAAATAAATAATAATAATAATAATAATAATAATGTGTAGTGATCCACGCGGGGAAGAGTCAAGGAGCAATGGACTGCAAGACGAATTTCAAGGTAAACAACATCGTGTGTATAGTTGGACCACAAGAGAAATGCTCTCATTCTACTCGAGGAACTCCATTTTTTTTTTTTCTTTTTTCTCTTTTCCGAGTCAAATACCTTTTCATTGCATCTTTTCAACATCTTGTCGGACACATTTTTTCTCAACTGAATCATCATCATCAGAAAAAAAAAATCCTTTCGGATGCTGCTCAAACAAATATCCCTAACGTGAAATATCCCTCTCGAAATTTTTTATTTTTTCTCCCAAATAATTCACATTAATAATAATAATAATTAATAATAAATAAATAAATAAATAATAAATAATAAATAATAATAATAATAATGAATCAAAACGAATATTAACAAATGAAAACAAAAAAACAAAAACACAAAATTTTCATCAACAGACTAATAACGTAAAAACACTTCCTTTTCCTCCTCCACCGCCCCCCTGCTCCTGCCCCTCCCCTTCGGGATCGTATCGATTGTCTCTTATTATTATTATTATTAAACCACTATTTGTCTTTTATTTTTTTTTTTTTTAAAGCTAAGAAGTCACTCAAAAAGAAACCCAAAAAAAACCGTAAACGTTAATTACGTTAATACGATTGTTATTCATTGTGTTTGTTCGTAATTAAATTTTAAATTCTACTACAAATACAAACCGAAACAATCCAAAAAAAACGACAGAGAGAGAGAGATTCAACCATTTCCAACCCTTGTAATTTTGCAGAAAAAAAAATTAAAAATATCCGAAAATATTTATATATAGTTGCATGGTCCACAACCAGGTTCAAGGTTTCTAAAATACCCAGTTACATAACGTAATAAATTGCAGAACAAGGTACTTCAAGCTAATGACCTACTGTTTGTTGTTGTTGTTGTTGGCCAAAAGCAATTTTTTTAAAAAAAAAAAAAAGATTACGTTTTGCATTTCCTTTACGATTGTGCTACAATGTTGTTGTAGGCGTTTAGAAAAAAAAAAAAAAATGTACTAATATGTGCGTGTGTGCGTGCGTGTGAGTGTGTTAATACGCAATTTTAATTGTTATCAACCGAAATATATTTCTGCGTTTAACGAAGTCATTTTAAACAAACAAACACAAACACACCCACACACACACACCCACACACAAAATACTACAATTTCCTTCCGGTTAACCTCGACTCCGCAATTTGTTATTAATGACATAAATAAATGCGAACAACAACAACAACAACAACAACAACGAAAGTTTTTATTATTATTATTATTATCATTATGATTTAATAAACGAAATTATCGATTATTAATCGAAACGACATAAAATATTAATAAAAAAAAAAAAAAACATTAAACGCGACCCGTCTAGATTTTTTTTTTTAGAATTCTAAAATGAATATTTATTTCCAATAAAAAACGTAAAAAAAAAAAAAAAAAATTAATAATAATAATAATAATAATAAAATGCAAAACGGTATTTTCTATTATTATTAATAAAATAAAACAAAAAATAAAAAAACATTCAACTTAAAAATTATTTTTATAGAAAGAGAAAGCACAAACACAAACAAACACAAACATGAGAAGATTTCGATGAAAAACATTTCGACTAAATATTTTTTTACTTCATCATCTAAAGGGGGAGTGGGGGGGGGGTGAAACAAAAACCAAAACATTTAAACGTGTTAATAAAAAAAAAACGTTTTTTTAAAAAAAAAAAAATCATTTGTTAATAATATTTTTTTTTTTTTTTTTTTTAAAAAATGATTATTTATTATCAGCAATTAGTTATTATGACAAAAGTGAACTCGACAATTTTTAAAAAGTTTAAAAATTTCTTTTTTCATAAATTATACATAATGATTTTTTTTTTTTTTTTTAAATGTTTTATTTTGTTAACAAGCAACTGTAATAAATAAATACATTCGTCATCATTCTCTTCAAAATGTTGTTAAACATTCGCATCGATAAACCGATATTTTTTTAATTCCCTTCTTTTAAATAATTAGTAATGTGGAAAAATGCAAACGTTCACACTTGCATTAGAGTTTAAAAGCACACACACACACAAAGCAAAAATTCATTTTAAAAAATTCTTACCACTGGAAAGCATTAAAATGAAAATAAACAAGGCCTTGACCATATAAAAAACAAGCATCTTTCCAATAATCCGTTCTAAGATTAAAATATTTCTGATACGCAGACATTGCTGAAATAAAGAAGAAAAAACTTATAATAACCATCACACATTTGAGAGAATTTGAAATTATGAAATATGAATAAATCAAATCATTTCACACACCTTTTACATAATCTTCCAACAATAAATGAAAATGTCCCAATTTACAATAAGTTTTCGGATCTATGCTGATCTCTTTCGAACGAACCCCATCGATATCTTCTTTTTCTTCTTGAGCTTGAATAAGCATTCGTTCTAAATATTTAACAGCTTTAACAACTAGTGCTTTTTTTTTGGCATGCTCAGAAGAATTTAATTTTAAGAAACCATATTGTCGACTGTAAAAAAAAATAAAAAATTTCACTTAATGAAGGCGAAACAAAGTTTAGTACATTAAAGGATATCATTATGTAACAATGTTATAGTTACTATTAACAAATGAGTAAATTTTGTTGACAATATGAATGATTGACACCTTAAATAGGTCACATTCATCTTATTTGTTAATTTGCATTATAGCATTAGGTGATCTTTGCATTGTAAACTAAGTGGCAGTGCCCTCAAGTAAATCATTTTTCTATAAAAGCTATTTAATATATATATAAAATTATGTAAATTTCACCTTTATCAATAACATAATGTATTTTTTAAAAAACTATTTCAATCATTTTAAAACCGGCGTTTAACACTTTAACTTAATGCACTTTAATAAAAAAAATGACTTGCCGATATCAAGTAACGTTATTTTGATTCAAAGTTCTAGAACATAGAGATTTGGGTCAGGTATTTTTAATTTTATGAGAGCTACAATGGACAAATTAACAAAAACAATACACGAAATTAATAATCAGTTATACCTATGTTACTATATGTGAAAATTCCGGGGTTTTAACAGTATGTAACGTTGAATAAAAAGATTTCATTAAAAAATTTTATAATATAGGCTTATAAAATGGAAGCCATGTTGTTTACCTGTCAAGATCAGATAGCACTTGCAGTTCTTGCGGCGTTAAATTAATTTCAATAGTTTCCTGAGACATGATTGTTGTTGAAACCGCGATTTACAACAACTTCATATCATTTAGAAACATTTTATAAATATTTAACACGAGGAGTCACTACATTTTGAGGGATAATATATAATTTAAATATATATAAAATAACCATGACAACCCGTACCGAAATTCCAATGGAACTACTAAAAACCGCGTTGCAATGTCTTCAGCTTTTTTCTTATCTAGTGTGGCATTAAGAAAATAATCGTGTCAATAATCGACAAAAAAAATTTTAACGAATTAAATTAAAATTTATGGCGGAATATCGTATTTTAAAAAAAAAAAAATAATTAATAACTTTCAAATTATTATCTTTCATTAATAATTATAAATATATAATTTAAATAATTAATTTATTTTTACAATTTTTTTTGAAACATAAGTATAAGTGGCAACAATTTAAAGTACAACGTTAATCATTTACCAACTTATAAATTAAATATTTTTTAACATTTATTAATAACATTTAACGATTTTCAACGTTTGAAATTTATTTTTTTTAAATTTAATACATCCCGATAATTATACTTACATTTTTATCAATTATTTTTATCATTAAATAATTATCAAAGTCTTTAAATTAATATCCAAAGTCTACCGAATATATGTATACATTGTTGCAGAAAGCTTTTGGGATAATTGTCACGGATATTCAAAAAAAAAAAAAAAAAGGTTATTATTTTGTAATTTAATTTAAAATTTTTTTATTGAAATTAATTTAATATTATTGATTAGGTAATGTTATTTATATAAAATGCAATCGACAGTCTCAATTTATTACGCATTCCCTAATTATTATCCTTTTTATTTTAAATATTTTAAATATATTTGACATAAAGACTTAATTTTAAAAAAATTTTTATTTTTATAACAAAACAAAAATAAATAATATTTATATGATTTAATAAATAGTTTTTTCTTTTTTTCTTTCATCAATAGAATATATATCTGTATTTTTACCAAAATGGTGGAATCCAAGGGTAAAAAATCAGCTATTGATGATATTTTGGGAGATCTCAGTAAATATTCTGCTCTGCAACAATTAGCTTTGGGCACAGCATGTGGGTGGTAAGTAGGGAAGAAAAACAAACAAAACAAATTCATTCTAAAAACATTTTAACAATTTTTTTTGAAAAAAAATTTAATTTTTCTAGGTTTACTGGTTTTATAACCATGAAAGCTGGTAAACTTGCTGCATTAACCTTTGGTGGTGGAATTTTATTATTTGAAATTGCACATCACAAAGGTTACATCAAAATCAATTGGGATAAAGTAATGAAAACAGCAGATGATGTCATAGATAAAATCGATGAAGAAGTTTCTGGGAAAAACAGTAGCGCAATGGACAAGGTAATCAAATTTTTCGTTTTACATTTGAACGTTTTCTCGAATCGCAATATTATTAAAAAGTAAACATTTCTGTTAGTTAATTAGTTCCAAAAAAAACAAATTAATACAATAATAATAATATTATTTGTTATTTAAATTCTCATTTAAAAATATCATAACTAATATTTAACTTTTGATAAATTAATAATCGATTGGATTGAATTCGAATATTGAAAAAAAGTAAATATGTCGAGTTTGTTTTCCTGTAGATAATTAAATTTGCGAGAGAGAACAAAATAGTGTCGGCAGGCTTTGGAGGGGGTTTTTTTCTTGGCTTTATTTTTTAATATAAGCTGTTACATATCATCATTTAATTTTAGTAAGTAATTTTTTTCCTTATTATGCTTTTTTTTAAAAATAATTTTTTATAATATCATTTCAATTACTAAAAACTACTTTCTGTAACGAAAAACAAATTAAAAATAAAACAATTATCATCATCATTGTCATCTTATCGATTTATAACAACAAAATGGTTCTTAAATCTTTACTGATTGGAAAAATTTTCTTTTTTGTTACAGATATCGAAATATGTTGATAGAAAATTAGACAAAGCAGAAGATGCATTGAGATCGAATCAAAGACGTGTTAGAAAATGGTATCATGCATTTATTAATAAAAATGGTCACACAGGTTACAACCTTCAAGAGCTTCACCTTTTCGTTGCATCTTTTACTGCTGGTTTAGCTTTCGGTTTAGCCACTGCTTAAAACTTTAGAGGCAAACATTGTGGCAAACAAATTTTTAGAACGTTTTAGGAGCATGCAATAATAATAATAATAATAATAATAATAATAATAATAATAATAATAATAATTTAAATTAATCCTTTAACCAATAAGAAGTTGATTAATTTTTCTTTCGAGATTCATTGCTGTTGATTGTTAATTACATTAGTTTAACATTCTCTCTCTCTCTCTCTTGTACTTAATTTAAATTTTTTTTTATTTAATTTCCCCCCCCCACCACCCCCTCCCTCTTCCCCTCCACCCCTCGATTAGTAAAGTTGATAATGATAGTGATAATGATATTAATAATTTAAAAAATAAAAAAAACTTTTTCTTAGAGTTGAAAATGTATAAATGATAATAATAATAATAATTTAAAAAAAAAAAATTTTTGTTCATAACAATTATTATTATTATTATTATTTTGTCTTAATATTAGTTTCACTTATTATTATTATTATTATTATTATTATTATTATTAATAGATTTTATCCTCGTTTTAATTTTATGTAAATATTAATTAATAATAATATTATAAGTACGCGTAAATGTGAATAATAATAATAATAATAACGTTCGTTTTTTTCTTTTTTTTTTTTTCCCCCTCTGCATTTCGTAAATAATTTTTCCTTTTTCTTTTTTTCTTTAATGGAAAATAATAATAATGATAATAATGATAAATTACTTGTTTCATAAAAAATAATAATAATAATTGTAATAATAATAATAATAATAATAAGTTTGAATTTTTTTTCTTTCTTTTCTTTTCCTTACAAATCGTTGATTTTAATTCTTTAAAAAAAAAAATTCATTTTATTTAACTGAAAAATCGATAGGTAAATCAATAAATCAATCAATGGTTTTATTAGCAGTAGTCGTAGCAGTAGTAATAATAATAATAATAACAATAAGTTAATTAATTTATTTATTATTTATTTTAAAAATGAGCAATAAAAATTACGTACGACATTTTTTCCTTTTGGTTTTGGTTTTTTTCATTTAAATTAAATTAAATTTTTTTTTTTACCCCATTTGAGAATTTAAAAAAAAAAAAAAAAAAAAAAAAAAACGACGACGACGACGTAAATTTAACAAAAAAAAAAGAAAAGAAAATTTATATTTCACGAAAACTATTATTATTATTATTTTCTTTTTTTTTACTACTCGCGTAAACCCCCATTTGAATAAAAAAAAAAAAAAAAAAAAAAAATTAAAAATTACCCAAATTAATAAAAAAAAAAATGACTTCCATTATTATTATTATTATTATTATTATTATTATTAATTTATTTTACATATATAAATTCGATTATTTATGACGTATAATTAGAAAAAAAAAAAAAAAGAAAAATTAACGGGCAAGAAAAATATGATAAAAAAAAAAAAAGTTTAGCAAAAAGATATTAAAAATTAAAAAATTTTATAAAAATTCTCAATTTCTCCTCCTCCTCCTGAGTATTGTAATTCTCTTCTGCTTTATCTTCTTCTTTTTGTTTATTTTCATTTGTTATAAACAATTTTTAAAATGTTTATAAATGAATAAAAAAATCAAAATAAAATAAAATAATCGATTAAAAAAATTATTATAAAAAATTTTTTCCCCTTTTTTCCGTCTCGAATTCATCAATTGAATTGTCGCGAATTAAAATAATAATAATAATAATAATAATAATAATAATAATAATAATAATAATAGTAAGTAAAAATTTCTGCACGTGCAGAAAAAAAACTAAAAAAAAAAAAAAAGAAAAAAGTTTGGAGGTCGAGGGTGTGTGCACGTGTGTACGCGTGCGTACACACGTCGCATCACACACGCATCAAAATAATGCATGATAATAATAATAATAATAGTAATAAAGGAACAAATAATATTTAACAATTGGAATCATCCGAACTAGAACTTGATTTGCTAGATTTTTCCGAGCCCGAACCATCCGAATCAGAATCGTCCGAACCGGAATCGGATGACGAACCGTTTTCATCATTGTCCGAATCCTACAAAAGGAAAAAGGGAAACGTTAACCGAGCGAATGATGATGATGATGATCACGATCACGTGTCCGTAATAAAATAATAATAATAATAATAATAATAATTAAAAATTATAAATAAATACCTCGTTGGAATCGTCGGCGGTACCATTCACGGATTCTTTCGTTCCTTTGGGATTATCATTATGTTTCGATTGAGCTTTTAACGCTGAAAATTTTTTCAAATCTTCCTTTGACAAACTCTGAAAAACAAAACAAAAACAAAACAAAGTAAAACAAGCGTTCGGTGATGATGAAAAGGTGAAAAAAGGGAAAACTCGAAGAGGTTATTCACCTTTAAGAAAATTTCATAATTTTTTATGTATTTGTCTTTGAGTTCTTTGTGTTTTTCCTTGTACATCATCTTTTTCGATTCTGATAAACCGTTCCATTTTTTAATGGCTTCCTTAAGTCTTTCACCTTCGTTCAATTTCGTTGAACACTCGGACTGGAATGAATCGTAGAAAACGTCGAAAACTTTTCTGAAATTTTCATTTTTACAAAAAAAAAAAAAATTTAGTTTCATAACAAAAAAAAAATTTTCTTTTTTCTTATTCAAAAAAGAAATACCAACACGGGTGGGGGCAAAGGTTCATCTTTGAATAAAATCAAACGTCCGCCATCGTTGTTACTACTACTACTACTACTACTACTCTTAACGTTTTTCATCGTAACGTTATTTTTCATTTCTTTCTTTTTAACTTTTTCTTCCACGACTTTGCTGCTGTTGTTGTTGTTATTGTTGTTGCTGCCACTACTTCCGCTCATTTTTCTCTTCGGTTGATTTTTTTTCAATTCAATTTCTCTTTCTTCCGGTGATAAACCTTCCAAATACGATGCGAAATCTAATTTGTAACTGTCTTGCATCGCTCTGACTTCTTTTTCGTAGAGTGCTTTTTGCGATTCCGATATTTTTTTCCACATTTTCGATATTTCCGCCATTCTTTGTTTCGGCGGTTTGCTTTTCACATCCGGATCACTTTGAAGCATGAGTCTCGAGTATAAACTATATGCTGAATTGGGCGGTTTCACCGGTTTTCCAGCCAGTCTGCAAATGATGTAACGTCAATATGAATTATTTGCACAAACGAATTCTTTCTTCCCCTTCCCCCTTCCCCCTCCCTCCACCTTTACCTTTCTTTAATATTTCTCTCGTCTTTGTTTAAAATTGATTTGGATGAATTGGGTGGAACGTAATCGGGATGTTCCAATCTATAAACTCTCATTTCGTCTTCGTATCTTTTATGATCCTGAAGTGCCCAATCAATCCAAATTAATTTCTTTTCATCGCTCATGTTTTTCCATTTTTCCTTTGCAGTTTCTTCGACGGTTTTTCTATCTTCTGCTGAAAATCCTCCTTCGTGTTTTTTTAATTGTTCTTGAAAAAACAACTGAAAATAATAATGATAATGATTGTTTTTTTTGTTGCTGAAACTAAAATTTACTTTTAAAAAAATTAATTAATTAAAATCTTACTTTAAAGGGATTGCTTGCTTTCCTGGGACCCTTTGTACTACTTTCTTTCCCTTGTATTTTTCTCTGTTGCTGTTGTTGAGCTATTTCCGGGTGTTCCCTATAAAATTCCGATAATTTCACATCGAAATTTTGCCTTTGTTTAGCCGCCAAATCCGTATATTTGTCTCTCTCTTCTTGTGACAAATTCTTATACATTTCCGATATAATTTTGGAAACCTGGAAAACAAAACAAAATGTCGTCATACTCGTTTTATAAAAAACAAAAGAAAAACTTTTCTCTCTCTCTCTCCCCCTCTCTTTCGAATACCTGTGTCATTTCCATTCCTGGATTTTCTTTTACAACTTTATCTTTTTGTTCGAGATAATATAACATGTATGTCGACAATGGTCTTGGTGGCATATCAGGATGACGATTCTAAACGAATAATAAATGAATATTAAATATTATTATCATCGACTAAAAACGAAATAACACAAAAGAATGATAATGATGATGATGGTGGAAGAATACCTTTTTAGAACCCCTGTAAAAATTTGTCCAGGGTTTCGTGACCCATTCTCTGGCATCCTGAAGTATTTCGGATAATATTCTAAACCTTCTAACTCTTTTCGATATGGCCAACCAAACTTCGTAACATTCGTGAGCATCGTAATCACCAAAAGCTATTTTTGACCAATCCAATTTGGCTGCTCTTGAATGAAATTTTTGATTGTCTTTCGGCGGTATTTGAGTTTCCATTCTTCTAAGAAGTTCCGCATAATCACTTTCCGGCCAATCTGGTACTTCTTAAAAATAAACAAAAATACCCAAAAAAATAAAAAAAAAATCCGATGAACGCGACAACTTATAGTTAAAAAAACAAACATGGCGTACGTACCATCGTTGTTGGACGTTAAATTATCACCGCCTTCTTCGTCAGCATCGGATTGAACGTCTCGTTGCTTAATGTCAGACGCGACAGTGAAATTATTATTATTATTTTTTTTATTTGTTTTTTTATTCAATTGCATTTGCAATAGTTTTTTTTGTTTTTTCCTTCTTTTTTTGTCTTCTTCTTCCGTATCCGAGTGATAACTATCAGAACTCGATGATTTTTCACCCGTTGTTCTGTCGTAATTTTTAACGGGTATCATCAAATTCGTTACGGTATTGTTTTTATTAATTACGTCATCATCGACTTTCATTTTTTTATTATTCGGTTTCTTATTATTTTTGAACACTTCGGATGCGGGACTCGAATCATCTCCGCTATCCGATGTATTCGAATCAACGGAATCCGAATTCGAATCCGTAACGGTTTTTTTATTATTATTACTATTTTTATTTGAATTTTTTTCACTTTCCGAATCCGAACTCGAACTCGAATCCGTATATTCGTATTTTCGACTTTTTATATTTTTATTCGTACCATCTTTATTAGATGTTAATTTTTTACTTTCTTTTTCATTTGAACGTGATTGTTTCTTTGGCGGTTGTTGTTGTTGTTGTTGTTTTTCCTTATTATCCGTTTTTATTATTATTTCTTTTTTTGCTCTTTTCTTTTCTATTTCCGGTTCGGATTTTTCTTTACCCGTATTTATTTCATCTCTTTTTTTCTTACCCATTTTTCTGTAAAAAAAAAAAAAAACAAAAACATCAAAATAAAATTTCAAAAAAAAAAAAAAAAAAATTCAAAATGGAGTTCGATTCGATGACGAAGTCGGGTCTATTTTTTTTGTTTTTTTTTTTTTTTTTTTTTTTTTTTCCCTTTATCCAAAGACAAGTTTATAAAATTTCTTTTGTTTTATATAAAAACAAATCCTTTAATTAAAATAAATTAAAAAAATAAATTTAATTTATTTAATTATATACATTAAAATAAATACAAACGATGATTTTCTGGAGAATAAATTAAAATTTTTTTTTTTTTTTAATAATAATATAAGCGTGGGGAAAAAAAAAGGTTTGAAATAATAATAATAATAATTCATTATTAATTATAAATTAATAAATAGAATGGTTTGTTTAAAAAAAAAATTGGGGGAGAAAAAAAAAAAAGAAAAAAAAAAAAAAAAGCCTGAAAATTTCGACCGATTGAATAAAGTTATAAGATGCGGAACGAAACAAGACATAAGCCGGGGGGAGGTGAAGAGCGTTGCCCGCACCCATCTCCGCGGGGACGGAGTAATAATGGCGGATATGAACAAGCCACCGCCCGAGCAAATGCAAGTCATCGACCGAACACATTTACCGAAAAAAAATCATTTTTATTATTAAATCCCCATTTTTAGAGTTTTCAATACCGATTAAAATTCTTTTTTTAAATGCAATTTATTCATTTACACACTCTACGAATCCATCGTTTTAATTATAAAAAGAATTTTTAAATTTTTATTTACCGCAACGTGAGAATACGGATATCGGGTTCTGACGCTTATGGTTACCGTCTTCGTTGCCTATCTACGAACGTACGCCATTAAATTTTTTTTTTTTTTTTTCTATAATTTTACCTCGTTTGGTTGCGTCGAATATTTTTCCCTCGAAGAAAATAATAATTTTCACTTCTGATTATTATTTTTTCATATTTGATTATATGAAATTAACTATTATGTCAAACACTTTTTATTTAAAAAAAAAAACAATATTTATAATTATATGAAAAAAAAAAAAAAAACTTAGTTACTATGCTCGTTCAAAATTATTAATGTGCGCATGCGCGTTAGAAGCGACATCGTGCGGTCGAAAATTAAAACAAAACCGTTAAACATTTAAAAATATTGTTTGAATGTAATAGTAAGAAAAAATCATTTTTCAAATGTTTTTTTTATTATTTAATTATAAAAAAAAAAAAAAAAAAAACTAGTTGGGGGGGACGTGAAAAATATGTAAAAATGGATTAAACGTAAATCGAATCATTCGTTAAAAAAAACCGTTTGTCGTTTTTTAAAATAATTAGAACGTACTCGTTTGTTTATTTAACTGATAATAATAATAATAATAATAATAATAATATTCGATCAACGTTTAACGTTTTTTGCCATTTAAAAAAATTTACTCGTTTTAATTAATTTATTGTCAAGTAATTCTCGTGAAATAAATAAAAAAACAATAAAATTACGAATAATTTAATAAAAAAAAAAAAAATGGTGGACGTAATATCAGTCAATAATTGAAACTTACCTTATACATCGGACGTTATTTCCAAGTTTAAACCAATTTCATTCCAATTTTAACTTTAAAAAATTCAAAACTTATTGTTTTCTTTTTAAAAACTTCTTATTTCACGACTAATTCACTATCAAAATATTAAAAAAAATGTAAACTTTTTAAAAATTAACTTCGATTGATCTTAAACCGTCAAGTAATGGCGTTCCAACGTAGAAAAATAAAAAAACTTTTAAATATTATTTACACGTTTAATAATAAAATTTTAATTATAAACTTTTTTTTCTCATTAGAATTTATTTAAACACTGCAATAGAGCATCTCTTAATTTTAACCTTAACTGTCTATCTCCTTCGCAAATAATATGAGTTTGACTATCTTCGACCGTTATGAGAGTATCTGATTCTTGCTGCAAAACAAAACAAATTAACCATGAATAAATTTGATATTTTTTTTGTTAATTTTCCTTCAAGACCTTCATATACCAAATGTATTATGTATCCGGGATTTCCGTGTTCTACTTTTGCATCGTTTATTCCTTCCTGAGACAATTTTTGTACGAATTGATCAATATCCAACCATCCCCATTCGTATGTCGGTTTTCTTTTAGGTAAAACATCACCACAGGTATCTGAATCTTCACACGTACCTGATGATGATTCTTTACGTTTCAAATCCTGATTTGATTCAAGTGACTTTAAACAAAATAAACAAATTATTATTGTGACTCGTTGGTCTCTGATTGTATTTTAATTTGATAAAATCGTAATCATCACCTCAATTTTGTATTTGTTATCGTTGAGAATGAGTTTTCCGGTAACGGATGTCAAAGACACACCTGGCCTTGTTTCGCACGGGATTAATTCTGATGCTAAATCCGCAGACATTTCCGCTTTGACTTTTTTACGTTTGACAGGTAATTTAATTACTTCTCCCCTTTTCATCGTTAACGTTGGTCTTTCTTGCTGGAAAATAAATTTCGTTTTAATTTCAAACCATTTTCCTTTATTCATTATCATCAGAATTTTTTCTAACCGCATCTATTAGAAGGTCGGTACGCTGAGAAGAACCTAAAGGATTTTTCGTGTAACTTTCAGGTATGACGAGTGTCCCAGGTTTTAATTCTCTTATGAGTTTTGTTGCTTGTGTAAAATTTAAACTCGTGTCTATCGGACAATGAACTACTTTCATTTGAAGCGGTTGAAATGGAGATATGGCGTCTAAATAAGGAAAATCCGGTTCTGTAAACAACAACAAAAAAAAAAGAAACGTTTTACGATATGGTACAACTTATGCATTTTTTGAAATGATTCCACTCACCGGTAAAAATGACGGAATGTAATGGATTCGAACCCCACAATTCCATAAAATGTACGGAATCGCCAAATCTAAGACTTGGATGACCGCAAAAAACAACGCATGGCTGTCGAAATTCCGCACTAAAATTTTCTGCATATATATTTTTGAAATGTTTTAACCTACTATTTTTAACTAAAAATGCATGCGGAAAAGGTTCTTCGGGTAAATAAACTTTATTCTGCTTTGCCTGTGACAGCCTAAAAGTAATTCGCTGTAATTATACACAAATGAACGTGAAATAATCAAAAAAAAAAAAAATGCTTGTAATAAACTCACCATTCTGCTAATATATTCGAATAAGCTAAAGATGTGTCAGCAACAGGAGAAATAAAAAACATTGGTATCTGGGTAAGTCCTGTTGCATCCAAATAACTAGAAAGGCATTCAAACAAATCATAAACGACTCCACTCGGATAACATGGTAGCAAAACGCAACCACCATTTCTAACCGTCATCGCTGGGAAAAAGGTAATTCATTAAATATTACTCGAGTATTATATTTGAAATAGTAAACCAAAAGAATCATACCTGTATTTATACACAATTCACCCAACATGGAATCAGGATTACTAGTCGGAGTTTGAGTTAAAGCAGTTATGATTAAAACATTAACATTTCTCAATGCATTTTGATGCATCGGTTTCGGATGTGTCGTTAATGTTGTCGATCCTGATACATAAGCAATTTTTTCATAATCAGTTTGTATTATCCAATTAGCAGAACCCAAACAGTATCCAGAGCTGACTGGAATTGCTTTTAAGGCACCATAAATATCCTGTCAGATTAAAAGAATGAAAATAAAAATTTGAATAACTTTAAAAAATTTTTAAATTACTTTTTCTTATAAAACTCACCAACTTTTCATCATATCCTACAACTTGAATTCTTGATAGAGCTGAATTTACTTGTTGCATATTATATATGTGCCTCCAATTTCTAGGTTTAAATGCATCGTTTAAAGGTGGAGGAAGCAAATGTAAAACTTCTTTCCAATGTTTGGCAACATTCGATTTTGGACTTTGTTCAATCCATTCGACTAACTCCTCTAAAAATAATCTTTAAATGAAAATTAATCCACAAATTCTTTATAAGATTTTTTATAAAATTGAAAAAGAAGAAATTAAATCGATGAAAACTTTTTAAAACTAACCTTCCTATTTGCATAGTCGGTTCAGTACAATACACTACACCCTTAAAACCGGTGTCTTCGGTTACAAAGGGCAAAGCCAACATACAAAGATAATTTGATATTAACATGACATCAATTTCAGAAAAATCTAAAATTTTAGTTTGAGGGGGAGAAAATTCAGGGGGTGAATCGATGAGAATTCTTCCGCAACAATCCCTAAGTTCCTAAAAAATAAATTATGAAAATATTAAATTGAAATTTGAGTTTCGAAAAGAATTATTTTATTGTTGAAGTCATTCAATTTACCCCATCAAGCTCTGAATCTAAACAATCTCTTGGCATCCATGTGGGTAAACTTGAAAGTCTTGAACTGTGCACAAGTGGTAAAGGTAAAAAATTTAATACAGATTGAGCTGATAATCCACAATCAAGCATAATTGTTACTTCGCGCCATTTAAGAACGTAACAAGGCTTGTTCGGATGACTGCTTAAACAATACTAAAAAAAAAAAAAAAAAAAATTTTTTTTGAAAATGAAATCATTTTTAACACTGACATTTTTTTTATAAATGTGAATAAATAATTTATTAAATGATTTATTAAAACTTAAATTTACTAACCAGTTTCATTTTATCCCGTGTATTTTTCGATTCGTAAAATCATTACTTAAAAAAAAAAATTAATTTGTTAATTTTGTTTTCAGATAGCACAGTACAGCAAGTGTTATTTTTCTACGTGGCAGAAGACAAATTATATATTAAATCCGCCTGAAATTTTTAACTTTTATGAATTGATAAATTATAAGTCTTGTCTACTTTACTGAATTTTCAAGAAAAATAATAAACTATTAACAAAATTTATTAATAATTATGAGCTGTATTAATTTTGAAAAAATCTTTTCTTATAACTAATAAAAAATAATAAATAAAAAGTTAAAATTTTTTATAAAAAAAAATTACATTCAAAACAAAAATCTTTTCACTTTTTTAATTTATAAATCAAGGAAATTAGTTTAAATAATTTTAACAATTAATAAAATACAATTGCAAATAAAAATGTATATTCGTCTTGTATAATTCATTATATGTAAAATATTTGAAAAAAAAAAAAATAATAATATAATACACAATACAATAAATAACGTAGATTAAAAATCAGGTATATATATATCATGTCATATTCACTGTAAATAAACAAACATTTAATATTTCATTTTTAGGTACTGATAAACTGACTTAAAAAAATATTCAACAATTATTGTATATATATATATAAAAGTGTTGCAGTTAATTCGTATATATAATAAAGTCATGGCCTCCTGCACACGTTTTTCTTTTTATTTCAACCTGATCATCAACCGCAATAAAACATTTGCGGTTGAAAAATCATTAAAAAACACAAACTCTGCTAAACTCGTTTGAAATTTTTTTATATATTTAGTGGATTCATTTGAACGAGTCCGCCATTTTCGCAAATCATACCAGCAACTTTCGAGTAATTTTTAAATGACTTTTCGTAATTTTTATCTTCTGTCATATTCAAATTAAGCACGGCTCTTTCTGATGCCTGAAACAATAATGAATATCGTTTTAAAAAAAAAAAAAATTCTCATTTTTATAAAACTCGTATGAAAAATTATAATAATCACTTCGTGACACCAAAGTTTCGTCAATAATTCTTCGTAGGGAGCAGAAGGCAAACCCTTTTGTAAGGTTGACGTGCATCTCGACAAAACGACCGCCATTGTGTAAATATCAAATGTAGCTTGAGCCAAACGATGAAGGTAACACTGTTCGTGTAAAATATCTCTTTTGTATTTCAATATTAACGTTTCTGCGCATTTTCCAAATTTTTCTATGCACTATGAAAAATAAATCCAATTTACTTTCCCAGCTTGCTTGTCGATTTAAAAAATGATACCGGAAATTGATTATTGTTTACCTTTGTTAATAAAGCAACCTCATTTTGAAAATTTGAATGAACTGCATTTCCGGTTGATATACCCAACCCCATATTCAATTGTCTACTTGCTCTTTTTTGTGCTTCGTTAAAAATAACGCCGAGATTAACACCCTTAACTTCTTTTTGCAACTGTCTTAAACTTTTTTCCAAATATTGAATGCCTACGAATGATGTAAAGAAAGGTTTTTTTTTTGTTTCACCACCGAAATAAATTAATTTTTAAAAAAAATTTTACCGTTTAATGCGACAAACAAACGAAGAATATCATTTGTTCCTTCGAAAATTCTAAATATTCTCAAATCTCTTAAAACTTTTTCTAAACCGCTGTGTCTCATAAATCCCATCCCACCCATTATTTGTATGGCTTCGTCTGTCACAGTCCAAGCAGACTCTGATGCAAAACACTAAAATAATAATAATTATATTAAATAAAATAAATATGTATCATGAAATTATGAAAAATATTAAAAACCTTTGATATGGCTGCTTCGACTTGATAATCTGTGCTCCCTTGATCCATGTTTCCACTTATCATGTAAGCTAAACTTTCCGTTACATATTGAAGCATAGCCATTTTGGCAAGTTTTTCTTGAATTGTTGCATATTTTTCAATTTTTTGTCCAAATTGTAATCTCTGAGTGGCAAATTCTACCGCTTTGGCAGTTGCTGATCTCATAGTTCCAGCTAAAGCAGAAGCCATTCCAAATCTTCCATTGTTTAAAATTTGCATGGCTACCTTAATGAATAATATTCGAAAGGTAAATATATTTATTTATATTTTTTCAAAAAGTTATTTAATTAAAATTAAAAAATCAAAACCTTAAAACCGTTTCCAACACCTCCCAAAACATTTTCTTTTGGAATTTTAACATTATCGTAAAATACTTCAGTCGTGTTGGAAGCTTTGATACCCATTTTTTTTTCAGGTGGACCCGATGTGACACCTAAAAATTATATTTTAGTAGTGATTTAATAACTACAGGAAAAATATAATGAATGACTTATTAAAAATTTTTACCTCCAAAACTTCTTTCAACTATAAAAGCAGTAACTGCATCTTTTTCAACTCCCGTTTCCTCATTTTTAACAGTGGTCTGAGCAAATACTGTCATTATTTCAGCGAATCCACCATTTGATATCCAAATTTTTGAACCGTTTAATATCCAATGTGAGCCATCAGGTGATAGGACAGCTCGAGATCTTAGAAAAAAATAATTAAAATGTAAAAAAAAAATTTTTTCACCATTAAAATTAATCGGAATTATAACGAGCAACACACTTTATCGATGCAGCATCACTTCCAGCTGTTGGTTCTGTCAGACAAAAGGCAGCATATTCTTTTCCAGTAGAAACCCTTGGAAGATATTTTTTTTTTTGTTCAGGTGTACCAAATAATAAAATACCCTGAAAAAAAATTTTTACCACAATAAAAATATTTGTTAAATTTGTTTTTCATAAATGTTGCAAATATTTAATTTTAACAATAAAATTGCAATTTACCTTGAAACCAATAGATTGATGCGCTCCAAGACAAATACCAACAGCAAGGTCATATTTTCCAACTATTTCAACTAATCTAGCATATTGTGTATTGCTTAAACCTAAACCTCCCAAATCTTCAGGTACTTGAATGCCAAAGGCACCCATATCCCATAATCCATTTAATGTTGGCGCCTCAATTTCTTCATTTGCATCATTTATTTCAGGATGATTAACTTCCTAAAGGTATATATACTTAAATTATTACATGAACCGAAAAACCGAAAAAATTTTTTGTATGAATTTTTACCTGAAAAAATTTTTCAAATGGATCTGTAAGCATGGAAACAGTTTCTTTCTGTTCATTGCTTAATGGATTAGGATATGGAAAAACTTGAGCTGGTTCTAATTTGCCAACATATAAGTTTTTGGCAAATGAAGGAGATGGTTCAAATTTTTTCGGTTCTTTTTTAGCAACTTCGGAAGACATACATCTAAAATAAATATTATTAATATTATTAATTTCCTTGTTTATATTATTAAATAGATTGAATTTTTAAAGGTTATCATCATTATTAATATCTAATATTGGTGTAAAACCAACTTTTGATACCAAAGGTCAGTTTTGAATGACTCATTCATTTAAAAAAAAAAAATTAAAAATTATTTAAAAAAAAAAAAAATTTTATTAAAAAATATTAACAAGAGATACCTTTAATTTCTTTTTTAAATACAAAAAAAAAAAAAAATTGTTAATAACCTAAATGATATATAAATTAAGAAACAAAAAAAATTATTTGAAAGTACTTTTTAAAAGTAATATTTATCATTAATTTTCAGGAATTTACACTTAATACCTAATCACCTCTAAAATATAATTTTATATTATTAAACATACCTTATTACGTCAAAAAATGCTTTATTTTTTTGTTGTTCTCTAACATATTTCCATAAACCTTTAATTTTTATCGATTGATTGACTAACATGTTAACAAGTGTGATTTTAACTTACGACTGTACTTTGATCAAAGAATACAAAATTAAAAAAAAAAAGTAGGTTAAACGATGTCAAAAAGAGATAGCCCTTAAGCAAATACAATGTTGTAATATTCATAAATTTGAAAAACTACAATTTTTTTTTTTTCGATTCAAACTTTTACAATAAAAACAATATAATTTTATAAAAATAAAAAAAAATAATAAAAAAGTTTATAAAAAAATTTATAATACAATTCAATACTGTACACACTAAACAAGTTTAGTGGTACAGTAAGACAGTAGTCAATGATTAAGGTACGTTCAGAAATTTTTTTTTTTTTTAGCATTCGTATCGTTGCCAATAGAGCCAATTTTTTTTGAAAAAATTTCCGTTACATACGAATTCCTTTTATAAATTTTGTGAAATTTAAGTTTTTTATATATTTAGTAAAATTTGTAGTTTTTAAAAGTTAATTATAAGTAAAACAACTAAAAATAGCTTTGATTAAGGTGAGTTTTTACACCAATTAGTAAAAATAACTGTTATTTTTAGAAAATATTATTTCAGTAAAAGTCAGGTATGGATTTTTAACAATTTACTTTATTAAATTTATCTCACTAAATATCAAAATTGATAAAATATTAAATAACGTACACGTGAATCATGCTGAGAGGTAAATTATTAACATAATTGAAATATAAATTAAGAAAGAAAGTAAAAAGGAAAGACATACCACTAGTTATATATTAAACTTTTAATTTACACATATTAATACATTTAAAATAAATAATAATTATAACAAAAATATATATATACACTCACGCACATAATATATATATATATATAATCACAGGAATAAACAATAATAAATAAAATGGTTTAAATTTAACCAATATTCCATACAACATGTACATTAAATTAATTTTTGTGTTAGTCTATTCAAATACTACAAAAATCATTATTAAAATAATACGATTATAGAAATAATAATAATAATAATAACAACGAATTTGAAATTTTTTAAACATTTAAAAAATTTGGGGGGGTTTTCCACATATTTATTTATTAAAAATTATGTTCAGGATGATAAATTACAATGATAAGAAATACAAAAATAATATTTTAATAAAATACCTAAGATTTTTATTTATAATTTAAGTTGTTGTGTTAGAAAAAATGAATGAATGGTCCTCATTAGAATTATATTTAAAACAATTAATTAATTATTGATTGAAAAAAAGAATGAATTATTGAATTGTTTTTAAGAATTTAAAGTTTTAAGTGAGTCATTTACAATTTATGCAGGGTGAATAAAATAATAATTTACAATATTTACAATATTTAAACAAAAAAAAATAAGAAAAATAAGAAAAAAAAACATTTTGCAAAATGTAAAAACCTCTAAAAAAAAAAAGAAATTGTATATAGATTATTAATGATATTTTAAGATAAGTCATTTTTAATATTAAAAATTACACACACACAATTTTATTAAAAATGACAAAGTTATATAAATTTTTTTTTTTTTAATATTACGATAATTCATTCTTTAATAACTACCCTGAACGTTTTATATAAGTATATTTAATTTTAAAATAATTATTTAAATTTGTGCTACACAAATATGAAAAATGTTTAGGTACCAGTTTAATTAATCGATAAGAGATACTGCAGACAATTATTTTTTAATATTTAAATATCTAACGATTACCTGCAAAATTTCCTATAAATGATGAAAACATTAACTCATTTAACTTTTGTATGACAAAAGCTCCTAAATTAAACAAAGACTGACTTGAAAGAAAAACTTCTTTTTTCTTTTTAAATCCTCATGTGTGTTTTGAATTAGGTGAAATCGACACAATCAAAATCTTCACCCTTTAATGCGATCACCATGCAATAATGTTGAAATAATTGTATGAGAATTTCTTGCTCATCGAGAAGTTCTAACTGTTCAATTCTTTGCCTATCTTGACTTGGAAGTGCATGATATACTTTAACCATGTCATAACTTTTAACTTTATCCCATCCATTATTTAAAAACCTACAAAATAAACCAAATTACTCATTTATGAATTACTTTTTTTTTTTTTTTAAACATTGATCAATTTTTAAATTAACCTTGTTTCTTGCGAACTAAGCGACTGACAAGCATCTGCTCCTGCTAATGGACAACCTCTTGCTCTTAAATTTTTAAGCATAACTTCTCCGAACCTATCACCTATATTAACCTAACAAACAAATGATACACATTACCGAATAAAATTTTTTTTTTTGCTTGTTCTAAATGAAAACAAACAAACCTGTTCGTAATTAACAAAAATGGCAGATTTGAACTTTTCTGAAAAAAATTTTAACAAAACTTTTCCAGAATGTAATTCCATGTAAACAAGAACGCATTCTGCTAATATAAACGTAGGCATGTTAAATTTAATATCAGAATCTTTTAATTTGGATTCTAAATCTTGAATATTCCTTAAATCGGCTCCTATTATGTGAAATCCGCTAGCGTGTAAATCTGTAGCACTTAATCTAATTTCACCGTCTAAAAAATTTGAAAATTCATGAATTTCAAAAAGCATTTTTCTTATTTTGTTTTCTTAAATAATTATTTACCTTCCATGTGAATTTTTTCTAACAGTTGTTTATTCCTTTTAATAAAATGACATTTTCTAGATGTGACAGTCGGGAAATCGACTTCAACATAATTTCCAATCATGTAACCGGAATCTTTCAACCTCCAGTATAATGTATCGAAACCACCTCCTAAATTTACTATCTGACAATTTTTACCTGCAGTCTTTAATAAATAAAAGAACCTTAAGTTATTTACCCCATCCAATAAATAAATAAACAAGTACAAATTTCTTTTTTTTTTTTTTTGAAATGTCTGACATAAATGAATTTCATTCAATATTATTTACCCCCGTACAATTGATTGATGTAAGACTTATGTAATACGACAAATTAAAAAGAATTCTTAATAATAATCAATAAATAATTAAATAAAACGTTATACCTTGACAAATTTTTCTAATAAAAACCAAACTCCCATCGTTCTTGCATAATATCCCCGATTTATTTCCGGTGCTTTTCTATCCGTTCCTTTAACGAAAAACTGTATGTAAGGATCAATCCAATATCCCAATTGAACGGCACATCTTTTACATTCACTTGCATCATCGTTAGTCGCTTGTACAGCTTCATCGGTTATTTTTTCCATTTTTTATTATTATTATTATTATTTATTCATTCATTAATTAATAAATCATTCATTCACATTAATCAAATTTTAATTAATCAATTTAAATTATATGTATATAAAAATAATTTAACAGCCATTAAAAATTCTTTGTCCTTTTAAAGTGGCATTAGACACACACACACATTAACTGTGCAATATTGGACCGCGCATTTAAATAAATATGTCTCTCTTTATTTATTATTATTATTAGTTTAAAAAAAAAAAAATGAATTAATATTTTATTATTATTAATTTTATTTAAATTTAATAAAATTATTTAATGTTTTTTATGTTTTCATAGGTAAATTATTATTATAAATGTTTTAAACATTCACATAAATTTTTTAATAATTTTTATTTATTTTATTAGGTTAAAGTAATTTATTTAAAAATTTATTAATGTATTCTATTGTTTACTTACATAAGACAATAAAATAACATTAAATTTCTTATTTAATAACTCATTTTTAAAAATTTAATAATCAATTTTTAATTACTCGATAGTTATAAATAAATTAAATTCGACAAACCTTGTACCTTTGACATAATCAATTTATTATTAATTTATTGTAAAATTATTATTATTATTATTATTTTATATAATATAATTAAATGAAAATTATTGTAATCGAGTAATTATTATTATTATTCATTATTGAAATTATTATTATTATTCGATATGAATACTTTTTTTAAGGATATAAATAATTTTAATGAAATAGAAAAATTGATTATTATTATTATTATAATTAAATTTATTATTATTAATTAATATTAAAGTCTATATATATATATATATTTATAAAAAAATTATAACAAAAAAAAATACTGTTTACCTATATGTATATTTATATAAATTCTCTTATCATTGATATCTTATCAATGAAAGAAAGCAAGCAAATACTTTTAAACGATAAAAAGTCTTAAAAAGCTGTCAACTCTCAATATCGATAAATTTATTTTATTCTTTACCAAATGTTGTGAGACACAAACATTTATTGTTCGATGAAAACATTTAATAGTAAATCCGCCATTATTATGTATTGTGTAAATTATCTACCTATTGATGTTGAATTTAATTTGCAGGATGTTTCATCTGAATGATCAATGCAGTCTATTTCTCCATCACATTTCCATGCCATTGGTATGCATTTACCATCCATGATGCATTTGAATTCGTCATTCTCTGAACATCCTTGACAAATGTTTTCATCGTGGCTTGGTATCGTACCTGGACAATCGTGTACTCCATCGCATACCCATTTCAATGGAATACAGGTACCGTCCAAACATCGAAATTCTTCATCCTCGTGACAATTATCTTAAAAATTATCATTTCTCACCGTTATTATTATTATTATCATCATTATTATTATTATAAATTTGTCACGGGGTTTATTTTACCTTTGGAAAAATTAACGCATTCTTCACCCTCTTGCCAATCTGGATATTGATTACAATCGAAAACATTCGATAATGGCAAACTATTTATTATGTAATCTTTACAATCGTCAGAGAAAACTAAAAAAGAATTCATTCCATAATTCGTTATAAAATAATTAATAATTATCAACAAAAAAAAAAATTTTCTTTTACCTTTGCAATTTAATTTACATGGCGGCATTATTCTTTGTCCTTCAGGTTGACATTCGGGTTCTAAAATTGAACAAATAAATTCTTTCGCTCTTAAACTACATTCCGAATCGACGATCATTTGAAAATATGGAATCAACGACGTCAAATCCTCGTAATTTTTTATTCCCGGTAAATTGGGTAATTGTACTACGTCGTATGGTAAAATACCCTCGCAAAATGTTAACTTTGTTGAAAAACATGGCGAAACTGTTGACACACGAAAACATCAAAATTATTTTCCCGCCAAAAATTATCGTGGCGGCAAACGAGAAGGACGAGCCAAAGGAAAAGGAAAAAAAAAAACAATATGGAGGCAAACATTTATTTTTTTTTTTAATTAGCTCATTTTTAATTGATTATAAATTAATTAATAAATAATTTTTACGTTTGCAGAACGTTTGACGTGTCATTAGACGTAGGAAAATAAATAAAAACACGTCACGAAGCAAATTTTTAGAAATAGAAATTTTTGGAAAAATGAATGAATTACAAACTATCACAACGAATAATTCGTTAACGTCAAAATATTTTATTACCAAACGGATAATAGAAAAAAAAAAGAGAAAATTAAGGTACGTTAATAATAATAATAATAATTACATTTTTAACGAAATTTCCACCAAAAAAAAAAAAAAAAAAAAAAATCGTTTAAGATTTCGTACTTTTTTCTAATGTTGGTAACCGAAACGAAATTCACACGTTTAAAAATCATTATTATTATTATTATTATTATTATTATTATTATTATCATTATTATTATTCGTTTAAAAAAAAAGTAATTTCAAACGAAGAATTTTCAATTTCGTAAAAAAACCGTTTTTGGAATATTTAAAAAAAAAAAAAAACCGTTACGAAAATTTTTCTTTTTTCTTTTTTTTTTTAACATACGCTACGATGATAAATTCAATATTATTATTATTATTATTATTATTATTATTATTAATTTTCTTACTCGTTAAACGAACTCGCACAGCAGAAGCTTCGAATAATAATAATAATAATAATAACAATTGTTTAAGAAAAAAAAAAAGGAAAAAAAATAATTATTTTGAAAAATGCGAATTTAATTCGTCTGACAATGCCAAGGGGAAAACAAAACAAAACAAAACGAAAAAAAAAGATGGCGTAAAAACATAATAATAATAATAATAATAATAATAATTGATTCGAAAAGAATGAAAACGAAAAAAAAAAAAAAAAACATTTTCATCAAGGTCACGACACCGTTGGTTCATTTATTTATTCTTTTTAAATACAAAAAAAAAAAAAAAAAAAAAAAAAAACAATTATTATTATTATTATTATTATTATTATTATTATTAAAGCGTTCGTTAAAAACAAGTGCCGCCATCTTTTTTTTTTTTTTTTAATATTATTTATTTTTCTGAATTTTTTCCCTTTATTATTATTATTATTATTATCATCATTCTATTTAGTCTCGTTATTAAAAAAAAAAATTAACG